CTCAACATCACTTGGCATCAGGGAAATACAAATCAAAACCACAGAGAGACACCACCTCACACCTCTTAGAATGGCTAAAATTAACAAGTCAGGAAACAACAGATATTGGCGAGGATGCAGAAAAAGGGGAACCCTCCAAAACTTCTAGTGGGAATGCAAGCTGGTACAGCCACTCTGGAAAACAGTATGGAAGTTCCTCAAAAAGTTGAAAATAGAGCTACCCTATGACCCAGGAATTCCACTACTGGGTACTTACTGCAAAGATACAAACGAGTGATCTGAAGGGGCACCTAGACCCCACTGTTTATAACAGCAATGTCCACAATAGCCAAACTAGGGAAAGAGTCCAGATGTCCATCGACAGATGAATGGATAATGGTGTTGTGGTATATATATATACAATGGAATATTATGCAGCCTTCAAAAAATTGAAATCTTGCCATTTGCAATGACATGGATGGAACTAGAGTGTATTATGCTAAGCAAAATAAGTCAATCAGAGAAAGACAACTATCATATGATCTCACTGATATGTGGAATTTAAGAAACAAAACAGAGGATTATAGGGAAAGTTAAGAAAACATAAATAAGACAAAACCAGAGAGAGACAAACCATAATAGTCTCTTAATCATAGGAAACAAACTGAGGGTTGCTGGAGTGGGGGGGGGTGAAGGGATGAGGTAACTGGTGATGGACATTAAGGAGGGCATGTGATGTAATGAGCACTGGGTAGTATATAAGACTGATGAATCACAGTTCTCTGCCTTTAAAACCAATAATACATTACATGTTCATTAATTGAATTTAAATAAAAAAATGTTAAAAAAAAAGTGTCGTATACTCCACCAACCGAGCCAGCCAGGTGCCCCATGAAGGTTATTTTAATGAATTAGTGAATACTTTTCATTTCTCTTTTTAAGCATTAGAGTGGAATCTAGTAATCTAGTCCCCCTATAGCAGTTACCTCCTGTCTGTCCCTCCAGACAAACCCATCCCATTCCTTCTGTGGGGTGGAAGTGGGAAGTAGAAAGGCCTGACAGCCTCCAGTGTTCTCTGGCTGCAAGGGTTCAGCCCGTGGGGAGCCTCAGCTAAGATCTCAGGAAGGGACTAAAGTGGTCACAGTGTTTATTTCCATGAAAACCTTATTTGTGAGCTTTCCTCAGTTATTGTGTCCCTCAGCTGCTGGTCCCTCCTCCTCATTCTCCCTCCCTTGTCACTTAGGGCTGGCGGTGGTGGGGGTGCTGGAGACAGTGGGGGAGGGTGAAAAGGGTTGGGGGGGATGCGTGACAAAAGCTCTGTTGCTGCTGCTTATGCCAGGCTCCTGCACCAGCCTCCTCTTCTCCATATGCCCCAGGCACACCTTGGTAATTAGTTCTTTTATAAAGAAACCCCACCAATGATCCTGCTCTAAGTAGGCCAGCTCCGGAGCCTATACTTCCGTAACGTCCGCAGAAAGCACAAGTGCACGCTTCTCTGACCTGTGTTTATCCTGCCATTTACCCAATCTATTGTGCCCTCTAATTCAACCATTATATTTTTATATGTGATATTTTGACTTGGTTCTTCCCTGTGGTTTGTCTTGGGTATTATTGCTAACAATATTGTCCTATATCCAGAAGGATATTTATTGTGTTTATTAATTATCTGGAGTCAGTCTCTTCCAATAATTCTATTTCAAATAATATGTAACGTTCAGTCTGTTGTATTTCTTATGTGGCAATCATACTTCACAGGTGTGTAATTATTTTCGCATGTGCGCTCATATTCCCCAGGGGTTAGCAGCTACTCTGTCACTGTTTGGTACCATGCACAGGCAAAGGACAGACGTCCTGCTGAGTTCAAGGAGAAGCGAGGGTGATCCCAAAGCAGAGGGCCCCAGGCACCAAAAAGCCACTCTTAACCTCTCCTCCATACTGCCACCTGCCAGGCAACTCCTACAGCCAGGGCTTCAACTTTAAAGCCCTTAGAAGAAATAGCAGAGGAAGGACCAAGTCTCCCCAGGTAGTGCTCCCCCTGCATGGGGGTGGGGGTGGGGGGGTATAGAAGTAAGGGCATGGAGGGCACGTACTCAAGGTGGCTGTGTGGACCTACATACTAGCTGACATGGCCACACTGCAGCATCCTGGCACCTGAGAAATATTAGGCAGCATTTGTCACAGGGTATGGGATGGGAAAAGAGCAGAACATGTACAAAGCCTTCTTCAAGCCCATCCTCTCATTGGCCTACCCTCGTCCCCCAGCTACAGGCCACTTCAGGATCACCTTTAGTTTCTCCTTTAGTTTGGGAGCTCCTGAGGGCAGGGCTAGTGAAACCCATTGCAGTGGCACTTGGCACTCTTAGCCCGTCCCGCAGCTGCAGACTCACTGGCCCTGCAGACCTGCTCTGCGCCCTGACATCAGGGATCTTTCCTTGCCACTGACCAGGGCCACATTTGGGACAGTCAGCCCAAGCCTCTCATCATACTTCTCACAGGTAGCCTGAGAAAGGAAGTCACACAGGGCCTTGAGGTGCCTGAGAATGGCCTGCATTAGAGGGAAGACCTCTGAGCTCCTTGAAGAGATCTGGGTTAGAATTTCTGGTCTACTATTTACTACCCACATGACCTCAGACCTAGGCCTCAGGGCCAGATCCGTAAAAACAGATCAAATCTGGATAGTAATACTGAGCGTTGAAGCTGGCAGCGGGTAACAGGGAAATACGCTGTGGTGGAGCTGTGATTTGGCAGATCTGCAGAGTGGACTGGAAATGAATTTGCATCTGTGAGTTAGGGGGCCCAAGACACTTCATGGAGGAGCAAGTAGTCACACCATTCCATGCTTCACACAGAAGCATAGCTATCAATGGACAAAACAGTAGTCTCTATTTGAGAGAAATCCAACACCATCACCATGAGTTGAGGAAAGTGGCAGGTGGCTAATGCTCCAAATCTGAACTAAGTGCTGACTCCCACCTCAGGGCCCAGCAACTCGGCCATGGAGCCCCATACTGAGTTTATTAACGGGAAGGAATGGTTTTTTCTCACTTCCAGATACTGCTAAGCTGGGAAGGAAAACTCTGCATGAGTAGCAGAGGGCTTAAAGGCAACAAGATTCTGGTGACCATGTGCATGTGACTTGACCTGTTCTCACCTGCTGGTGAGAGTCTAGGCTGTTTGAGGGACAAAAATGGAAAGAATTTGCATAGAACACCTGATGGCACTTTGGACATAGTGGGCCTGCAATGGTGGGGGCCTGCTCCCAGATCAGCAAGTATTCAGGTTGGGGGCCTGTGATTGTGAGACCCTTCTGAGCATTTTGCTAATTAGTTCAGATTCTGTGACCCAGACATGTTTATAGGCAGCAGCTCAGGACATGGCTTTGGCTCAGTGCTGGCCCAGCAAGTCCAGGGTCAGCCAAACCACAAACTATGTCAAATCTCCAGGGGGTGGTGCCCTGGGCCTTGAGAGACTGGGGAAAGACAGAGATGTGGGTAGTAGGGGAATAGACTGAGAGCTAACCCTGGAGTAAAGCTCTGAGGGCAGGTGACCTGAGACTTTAGACCTTAGCCTTGTGGCCAGGGCCCTTCACGGTCTACTTCAAACAGAGTCTTTCCAACAGAGCCTATGTGACCTGTGGGCCTGGAATATCCTTCTTCATGCCCAGCTCATGGCAAATCATCCACCTCTAGGAGGACCCATCCCCACTAGTTCTCTGTGGGACCTAGAGCATGCCAATTCCTCCATGAGGTGAGACTCTGGCCTCTAAGCCATGATAACTCTTCTGGAAGACTCCCCAAGGCTAGTGGCTCAGCTCTGGATGGCCAGCAAGCCCCTGAGTGTCCCTCTCTTCCCCACCCTTATTCCAGGGAGGAGGGAGATCTTCCTGTGCTGAGGAGCTTGAAGAACAATAGCGTGGGGGTGGATGGTAGCTCTGACAGGTCTAAAACAGGGGCGGGAAACTCCTTTAATTATTTTTATTTTGTCAGGCCTGCAGCAGACCTCAGATGTACAGGAGCGCTCAGAGATGGACACAGTTAAGAAGAATGCAGAGCCCGTTGGTACTAACACAGACAAGCTTGTGGGGGGTGGGCCAGGAGGGGCACCATGGGGTCTGTCACAGAGTCCTTAGGGAAATCAGCAGCAGGAGGAGGGTCTGTGAAAACACAAGGGTCATGCAGGTGCTGGGCTTGTGGACGGTGCCCAGAGAAGTGAAGTCACTCAAAATAGGAGGTTTTTCCTGAGGAGGAGCAAAAGAAGGTTCGGGATTGGGCGAGGTCCTCTGCTTCTCATTGATCCAGCTGGAGAAGTAGGTGAGCCTGGTGAAGACGCTGGGGCTTATGGGGTAGCGGCAGGCCAGGCTCCAGCTAGACAGCCCCATCAGAAACCAAGTACTACTGTTCAGCTTGCAGACCAGGGGGCCCCCGGAATCTCCCTGAGGAAAAAGGCAGTGTGAGTTGTGGGAACTAAGATAGAGGGGGACACATATGTTTTAGGCAGGGTGAAGACAGTGCCCTTGTCCTCCACCAGAGTGGAATTTAGGAAGCCTTGTGTCATGTGGGCTGTGAGTGGTTCTCATCAGAATCACCTGAAGCATTTGAAAAGTCCAGACACAGGGTCCCACTGCAGACCTCTTCGATCAAAATCTCAAGGGTAGGCTCTGGAGCTCAATTCACAAAGCTCTGGAGGGACCCTAGGCTGACAGTCACAGGCCTATGAGAATGTACAGGGGGGCTCCAGGTGTTGGATGCCAGCCCTTTGTGCTCTCAGCTCTATGGGAGAGAAGGTAGCACCCGAAGTCCCATGGGGCCTGCAGGCCTCTGGCTGAATCCGCAGCCCAGGACTGCATCCCACCTGAGCCTTTGTTTTTGGACTTATTAAGGTCTCTAGTTTTCCCTCTAATTCTTTGCTGAGCTTCTTGAGAAAATGCAACCTGTGAGATGTGTCCGAGGAAGAGAAGTGATGCCTGAGCCTGGACTGGTAGGGTGGTCAGAATGGCAGGGTGCCCAAGGGGTCCCAGAAGAATGCTGGGGACTCAGAGCTCAGGAGTCCAAGGCAGGAAGGCACCTGCCACCATGGGGCATAATGCTTCCATGTCATGGTCTAAGAAGTAGGGACCAAGGAAACACAGCATCCTTCCAGCCTTCTGTTGCATAAACATGACCGAGTCCCCTCCGCGTGCAGGAGACACGGAAGTGACGTGGAAAATGAAGACAGACAGTAGATCACACACATCTGCAGGTGCAAGATGTGGAACAGAGGTGCCAGGGGGTGGTGAGTGGCAAGACGGGCTGCCCTACCTGGGCCATCAGAGAGCCTCTGAGCCAAGGTGGGAGGGATGCGCAAGGCTTGACCAGGAAGATCCGGTCACAGGTAGCCAGCCTGCTTGGAATAGGTGAGGCCAAGGAGCGACAGGGCCAGGTCCCAGTCCCCTGTCAGCTGGGAGGGTCGGGGTGATGAGACACTGAAGGACACTCAGCAGGGAAGTAATGGGCCCTGGTCCAGATTCTAGAAGGATGGTAGGATGTTCTGGGGCTGGGTGAAGCACAGCCAGTGGTAGGGCAGAAATCAGCACAGGGAGCCCAGTCAAGACACTACTTTGAGCAGAGAGAGTATAACAAAGACAAGAGAGAAAGGCTGAGGCACAGGATTTGGCATATCTGGCCCTTTCCCTCCATCTAAGGTAAAAATGGAGCAAGGCAAGAAAAGCAGGATAGGGCGGAGTGGTGGGTCCTTTGTGTGTGGAGGTCAGAAAGAGGTCGAAGAGAGCAGGTGACAGAGGAGGGCCTGCCCTCCGAGTGTGATGGGAGATGTTGCAGGTGCATGGCTGAGCACCAGGTGAGAGGAGGTCAGAGGTGAGACCTAGGCATCTGGCTATCTTGATGGGAGCACTGTGGAGAAAGGGCAAGCACAAAACCTGATGGGACGGGCTGAGGCAAGAAAGAGAAGGGAGCAAGCTGGAGAGGGCCTGTGCAGACGCCACCGGGGTGAGCCCTGCTGGGAAGGCAGGCTGAGAATCAGGGCCCAGGGCAGGGCTTTGGGGAGGAGAGAAGGTGCATGTAGGGCGTTTGAAGATGGGAATCACAACAGTATGTTTCTGAGCTGGTGGGTGATGGCCAAGGAGAGAGACAAAAGCTAGCAAGAAGGAGCAGGAGAGGGAGGGGGGCTATAGGAGGAAGCCTGTGGGGGCCACAGCTCCAGAGGAGGACATTGGTGTTCTAGGTTTGACTGTCATGCTACCTCACCTTGGGCTACCCACTTCTCTCTGTGTCTCAGTTTCCCCACCATAAAAGAGAGGATTCCACAGAGTAGTAGACATTCTTAACACGTATGTCCAATAACATACTCATGGCCTATTCAGTAAGAAAGGCTCACGACCCCATAGAAACAATGACAAAAACCATGAATAGACACTCTTTAAAAGAGGCAATATATATATGAAAAAGTGCTTATCTCCATTATTCACCAGAGAAATAAAATTAAAATTCACATGCAATCGTTAAATTGAAAATGGCAGGCAACATTAAGTACTGGAGACAACATGGAGCAACGACAACTCTCAGCCACTGCTGGTGGGAGTGCAAACTGGTACCAAGCAGGTTAGAAAGCTGCTCTCCAGCACCTATGAGAGACGAAGCTTGCATACCTCATGGCACAGTAATTCTACTCCCGGGGTTATACCGCACCCAAATGTGAACCCATGGGCACTGAGACATATGCGCTAGGATGTTCATAGCAAATCTATCTGCAATGGTCTCAGGTGGAAACTATCCAAATGCCACCAAGACTAGAAAGGATAGATAAAGAGATAGTATGTTCACACAGTGGGTTACCATATAGCAGTAAACCAACGATGTAAACTACACCTAAGATGGATAAATCTTGCAAACATAACCTTGCCTGGAGGAGACCAGGTGAAAATGCATCCTATCTCATTCCCTGTATGTAAGTCTCAACACGAATCTCCAGCAGCTCCAGAAGCCAGAGCTACTCTCAGGGAGTTAGTGACAGGAAGGCGGTATGAGGAAGACTCTTCGGGTGCTGGTTACATGAGTGTGCCAATTTCTAAAACTACATCGTACAGCACATTTGTGAATTATGCCCTTTTCTACGTATGCTATGCTTCAACAGTGTTTTTTTAAAGAAGACAGGTATGGTATTAACTAGCACCCTTTGGGGACTTCTGAGCTTCAGCTCTAACACTTGAGGCTGGGCTGGGCTTAGGAGGAGGAAGTCGGGGGCTGGGGTAGGGTTCAGAGAAGACAGACGGGGGCAGACCCCACAGGAGAAGAGGGGCAGCCTGAGTTCCCACGGGACACCTGGAGCCCATGTCACTTACTCGGCAGATGGACTTTCCTGTCATGAGGTCCCCGGCACAAAACATATCCTCGTGTATAGAATATTCACTGCTGCTGGAGTCTGGCGATTGGAAATACATTTTACAGACCTCACTGTCAACAATGCCAACCTCTCCTTCCTGCAGCTGCAATGGTGAGGCCAGGAAATCTGCAGGGGGGTGGGGGAGAGGTCAGATGTGGGGTGGAGCCTGGGAGGGAGGCTCGCTCCCTCTCCCCTCTGCTGGCTCATGGACATGCTGCCGATTCTAGCTGACAGGATTGGGGTGTCTCTCAGAGGACTTGCAAAGATGAAGGGACAAGACGTGCAGGACGGACAGGAGCGCAAAGGTGAGGGGCCTGCAGCAGGAAGGGCCGGAGGGGAGGTCTACTTGGCTGCATGAGGTGAGAGTGGGGGTTGTACGAGGTAAGGACAGGTCATAGCAGGGTCCAGAGCAAGCAGGGCCTCCTCACCAGGCCGGGCAGTTCGGATTTCATGCTAAGCACACTGGGAAACCACTGAAGGGTCTCCTTACATTTTGAAAACAATGACGGGGCAGCTCTGCAGAGATAGAAGTAGAAGCACAGAGGGTGGAAGTGGGGAGCCCAGGCTGGGTGGCACCGATGTGCCCGCGAGATGCCAGGTGGGCTGAGGGAGTCTGACCGAGAAGACATGGCCCAGCCTCAAGCGGCAGCTGGTCTGGGGAGGCTCCCCATGTGGCCTCTGTGTCCACACGTGGCTCCCAGGGCTGACTGGTGTTTGCATGTGGCAGCACAGTGGCACGTGGACAGCTCCCCCCCAGGCAGCGCTGCTCATGTGCAGCTCTCGGGGGTCCCCGGGGGCAGCCCTGGTCCCGCAGCTGTGGTCAGGGGAGGGCGTGGAGGAAGCTGCAGAGCTGCAGGCTACGTCGGCTCCGTCTCTCCTGCTCTGGCCTGTGCCTTCCCCTCCTGCCCCAAGTCCTGGCCTCCGACTGTCTTGCAGAACCCTCCTGGCTCTGCCCGTGGTCCTTACGGAGCCATAGTCCATCCCAGGAGGCTGTTTCTGGAAGTGCTAGAGAGCTGGCGGTTCTCATGACCAGAGACTGTGCCTGACAGTTAGGGGCCAGGGGCTCAGCCCAGCAAGTCTTGCCCCCAGGGCCACCACTAAGATACTCCGCCAGATCATGGCAGACCTATGACCCTACAGGTCAGCCAAATGTACGTTCTAGTTTCTTCACTCAAAAGTATGTTTTCCTAAGACAAAAGTATTCACCATTGTGTCAAAAGACCCACCATTTCTCCTGTCTCGGCCTAAAAATATACCAGCCCAGCAAGCTGGCAAAATGGGCCAGTTTTACTTGAGGTAATGGATGAGGGGAAGTAAGAGTCACAGAGGAAAATGTTCTTAAGCTATCAACAGCCCAACTTCGCCTCCCAGGCTGGCAAACAGGCCTGCTTTTATTTCCTTCCTGCTGCCGCATGTACCTTCCATGGCAGGGGAAGCCCAAAAGGTGTTTGGTGAAGCCTTGGAGGGGCCTGACATGGTCCCAAGCAGTACCTCAGAGTCAGGGTGGAATCCTGAATGGCTTGGATTCCAAGGACCCAAGTTCCTGATTCCGAAAGTTAGCAATGCTCAGACTTTTTGATCCATGGGCAGAAAGAAACTTGAATCTTGAGACGGACATGGTTTCTGGGCTGGAAGGGCGCTACAATGGGCATCACACCTCCCTCCTCCTTAGCCCTTGCCCTCCCGGCCTGCCCCACCCCTACTCACCATCCTCGGTGATCATCCCCCAGCCAGTGATCCAGCAGCTGCTGTGAATGGGCAGCTTCGTGGTTGGCCCTGGGAGGCAGGCGGGGAGAATGTGGGAAGTAAAGTTCACAGACAGATGCAGTTGCAACAGGGCGATGTCGCTGCCCATGAAGTAGCGCTTGTTAAATTCACTGTGAACAATGAGTTGATACACTGTCATCTGCCGGCTATGCTCAGTGGGATGTTGGAGCTGATGGTACCCGAGCAGGATCCGGTAGTCAGATGGTTCATGGGACCTGTCATGAGATGCTGCATTGTCACCTGTCTCCTCTGTGGGCTGAGCCAGCACCCTCACATCCTCACCTGACTGTCTACCCTCAACTCCCCCCACTCTCCTAAGCAACCAGACACCACCATTATTCCAGACGTTGCTCTCTCCTCCCTTCCTAATATTCTTGTCAGTTGGGTTGGATGCCTGTCTGTAGCCTCAGGACATCTGTCCTGTGAAACTGTCTGATGGCTTCCCCAGTATGCCCCCAAATCAAAGGAGCAGAGAATCTCAGTGCTGGAAAGAAACAGCGGAGTACTTCAAACTATACTCCTTTGTTTTAGAGGAGAGAAGACTTGGCTCATTCCCAGCTCTGACCAGAAACACTGGACTGTTCCATGGCTTGAAGTAGTTCTCAAAGACCCCATTTCCCAGCCCAGAATGATCCATTCCCTCTTCCCAGTCTTCACACACACACACTTCTCCAAGACTGGTCCCCATCTGGAGATAGGCACTCAGTCTGTGTGGGGCAAATAGGGGAATGCATGTAACTGAACTTCTCGTTTCTGGAACATGAGCAACTTTCCCACACAAATGGCCTGCTTGTGCTGCTACTTTGCCCAGATTCCACATGCCTGTACTCTTCTCCCATAAGGCCTTGCTAGCTCCAAGCCCCTCTTATGGGATGCATGGCATCTTTCCTGACACTAGCTCAGAATCCATTCTCTTGCATATTCTGGCCTCTCCATCCTGCATCACAGTAGTTGGGTTTATGTCTCACTTTCCTGATAGTATGAGAAGCTTCAAGGTCTGCATCTCCACATCCTCCACAGTGGGTCTCATATGGGGCCTGGCACTTGTGGGTGCTGAACAAATGAATAGAACCCAAGTGGGGTCTCAAAGCCAGTTGATGCCAATGGCTCGACCTCCTCTGACTTGGAGTGTGATGTTCTCCCCACTCCGTCTGGACACAGAGGAAGTTCAGGATACACCTGAGGAGCAGCCTATTTGCATCCCATCTCCCAGGACAGAAACCATTTGCTTCATGCCTCACTCTGGCCTATAGGGACAATGATGACCACAGGATCTCTTAGGCACATAGTTCCACAGCAGTGACAGGAATTTCTGGGTGCTGGTTAAACAGGCTGTGTCCTGGGATGCCTCCAGAGAGAAATGTGCTAGAATGTGCAGGTGGTTAGGACCCAGGGAAGTCTCTGGCAGTTGTGCTCATGATGACCTCTGAACAGCCTGACTGGAAGAGTACAAAATAATTGTCCATTTTGTCCAGGCCCTGACTGATGCTCCCCCAGCCCTGGGAAGTGGGGTCCCTGAAAATATTGCTCTGACTTAAAGCCTAAAGCCTGTGCCATATGTTCAGCCAGGGAAACTACACATCTACTACCATTTACATAAGAGGAAACTGAAACCCCCTGAAATCTTGTTGGACTGTCTAGAGCTGGGCAGGATGCAGAAACCAGAGTCTACCTTGAGTGAGAACAGGACTTAGAATCCTAAAGTTTAAGGAAGACAAAGAGTGGGCTGGAGGCAATTCTTTTGGAACTAAAGTTTTCCAGTATTTGCTGATAATCACAATTAGAGCTAATTTCCATTTAACTATTTAAAAGTAATGTACATGTAGCTGAGATTACCATGCCATCTTGGTATTACCAAAGTGTGAGGAGGGGGACAGATGGGGATATCCCCAGAGGAAAAGATGAGGTAAATGGCCTTTGTCCTGGGGGATGTGAACTCAGACAGTCAGGAGACTGGAGTCAGGTGGTGAGTAGGCATGGCATTCCAAGTAGAGGGGATTGCTGGGTCAAAGGCAGGGGCAAGTCTTTCCCTAAGGAAAAAGGGCTGGGACACTCTTCAACCCCTTCTGCTCTGTCCATCTTATGACTCCCTCCCCAGTCCCACCCCAGCAGCTGGGCCCACTGGGAACACGTACTTTTGGAAGCAGTGGGCAGCTGAGATCACCCAGTAGGCATCTATGAGGGCAGCTCCGCAGATGTGCTTGCCAAGGTAGAGTAGGCTGGCCTGCCATGGCCACCGTTGGTCAGGCGCGTTCTGGCCACCAAAGATCTTCCCACTTACTGCTGGCTTCCCACACACTGTGGAGACAATCCTACCCGTGAAGCACCTGTACTATGGATGCCAGCCTTGGTGTCTCCAAATGTCAGCATCAACAGGCCCAGGGCCACCATGGACCCTCCTCACTTTCCAGCTGGAAAATCCAAGGCCCAGGGTGAAGTGAGACTGCTCATGTAACAAATGCCCACTTGGCATTGCTGGTGATGGTAGTGCTAAGGAAGCAGTCTTTGGGTCTGAGTAAGAAGAGGGAGTGGTCATCGAAGGGGAGGGAAGCAGGCAGCTGCAGAGGTGCACATCCACACTCACTGGGGTGCAGAGGTCCCAGAGGTGGTGCTGCCCCAGGCACTTCCTCAGACCTTATTTAACTTAACTAGCACACCACTCTTTGAAGTCCCCAAAACTGAGGACTTCTGTGGGATGCTGTTTGTTCAGGGTTATAGATGATTAAGTGGTTGCACCCCCCCCACCAGCCTAATATTCTAGGGAAACTGAGGCCACATGGAACACATTCTGCTTGATAATTCTCCTGCTGAAGCACTGCATCCCCATTCTTAAAATAAAGAGGGTGTGGGGGCCCACAAGGACAGGCCAGACTCTGTCCTTGAACTGAAGATGCTTGAGACCCAGTGGGAAAGAACCTGGTCTCCTAGGCCTCGCCCTTCCTGACCCAAGGAGGGACCCACCAGGGACCCAGAGACTCAAGAGCCCCACTTGGCTAGGTAGAAGACCTCCTGGCTGGTGGGGTTTGGGGGGGCCCTTGAGAGGTGGGTGAACCTGATGCCCCTCGCCCATTCATTCACCATCTGCGGTGGTTCCGTTGGGCTCAGCATGCAGCAGCAGCGGACGCAGCCAGAGCAGGGCTGTGGCCAGCACACAGGCCCCCTGCCAGCCTGGGCCTGAGCCCTTGGCCTGGGCGCTTGCCATCCGGTCAGTCCACGTCAGCCTCCCGGATGAGTGGTCGGCTCGGCGCGAGGCTGCGGGGGCCGCCGGGAAACCGCCTCCCTCCGTAGGGAGCGTCCCCCTCCCAGCCCGCTCTAAGGCCTGTTTGAATAGCCAGAGAAGGCAGTGGACCGCATGTGCCTGGAGCCCCGAGGCCCCAGGCTGATGGGGGAAGCAGAGGGCACACAGGGTCTTCTGCCCAGGGACCCCAGTTTGATAGCAGAGACATCAGGACAGTTACGGTGTATGCCCAGGAATAGGCACTAATGGTCAGAGGCTAGGCGCTTCTATAATGTCACCAAATATTTCCAACTAGCTTTCAAGATCCAAAGCACTCATTTCTGCCCCCTCCCCCCATTCACATAATTAGGTCAGACCCACTATGGATAATATCCCTTACTTAAACTCACTGGTGCAAAGCAGCATGGCATAATCATGGGTGGATATTTCATCAGGAGGGCATTATGCAAGGGTGTGGGTTGTATGAGGAGTCCAACCTCTGACTGCTAATCACTCATGTTATTCCCAAATGCAAAATCATTCACTGTATCCCAACAACTCCAAGGGCCTCATCCCATTACAGTATCAACCCAAAGTTCAGAGTCTCATCTGTTAAAGGAGGTCACTAAGAGGACTTGACCGTTGGTTGATCTTACAGCTGGACCCAGGCAATTGGAGGCTCTGCACTCTCTCTCCTGGCCTTGGAATGTATGCTCTGCCTACCAAGTGGGAGCTGCTTCAAGGACACAGCCTTGAGAGAGTAAGGTGTTGTTGAGACCATCTGGACTAAGATATATGACTGAGTCCAGTAAAGGCTTCTTCTTCTTCTTTTTTTTTTTTTTTTAAGATTTTATTTATTTTTTTGACAGAGAGAGAGAGAGCTCAAGCAGGAGGAGTGGCAGGCAGAGGGAGAGGGAGGAACAGGCCCTCCGCTGAGCAGGGAGCCCAATGTGGGGTTCGATCTCAGGACCCTGGGATCATGACTTGAGCCAAAGGCAGACGCTTAACTGACTGAGCCACCCAGGCGCCCCCCAGTAAAGGCTTCTATATAAACTTTAAGATCATGGCCTGCCAGGGTAGAGATCCAGTCATCTTGTGATTCCCCCAAGACAAGCCTCATACCTAAGTTCCCTTGCGAATTAAACCTGCCATCTACCAATCTGCAGCAGCCTACCTCTTGTTCTAGTCTCTCCTTGCCCTCCGTGTCCAGGATCTTGTCTGTGAGCCAACCTCATCTCAATGTAAACATCAGTATCTCCTCAGCTCAAAGTCCAAAATCTCATTATTGAAATCCTCTAAGTTAGGTGAGGATGAGGTTCCAAGCTTTAATCCATTAAATAAAGTTCGTAACCACGGTTCTTCCTCCATTTGTGGACCTAGAAAACTAAAGAAACTACCAACCCAACATTCCCAACATACAATGGTGGGACAGGCCGAGGATAACAATCACAGACATTGCCATTCAAAGAGGGAGGAGGAGGGGAGATGGAAAGTAAAAAGGAGTTACTTGTCCGTCCATAAGTTTATATATCCTACTGGGCAAGGTCTCAAGCCCTTAGGAAAAAATCCTCTGACTCTTGGCTCTGCCCTTTGGACTCTTGGTCATCCTTCCTTTTTTAATTACTTTTTAATTTTAAATACTTGTTTCTTTTATACTCTCTGAACTGTTTTGTTTTTCTTTCCCTCTTCTTTACCTTTTCTTGCCCTTTCATATTTCCTTAAACTTAACAGGAAATCTTCAAAATCTATAAAAGAATGTTTGTAGTGCTTTAGAGATTTACCTGAATGAAGTTCTAAATTTTTCTGTTATGAGACATGTATTCCTTAATTGATAATTTCATGAATTATAGCTGCAATCTCAATGACTATATTTTAAAGAAGCATGTTAAAATACTGTTCTAAATTCATTTGAAATAATGGAGACTCTCTAAAAATCACAAAGAAAATAATTGGGAACACTTACCGTGTCCTTTTTGGGGGGAAGGAGCACATAGTTGCACCAAATTTGCACCTGAATAGCTGTCAGCTTGCTTCCCCCTAGTGGAGATCTGAGGGTCCAACTTCCATTTTGTACTTCCTCTGATCTCTGTCAGCGCCAGACTGCCATAGTCCTCCTGACATCAACTCTGGAACCTGGTGGTCTTTGTGTGGATTTCACACTATTAGACAAAGCCACATCCACACATATTTTTGAGATAACTCCTTCTCTAAATCGGCTTCCTGTTGAGAAGTATATACACCCTCCACCCCCCAAACACACACAAAAGCTGAAAACCCTAATATAGTCAGAGACATAGAAGACAAGATTGAGAGTTTTGAAGGGAAGCTGGAGGAAGCGAACAGGATGGGGAGGGCAGGAAAGCATGATGACCAGGAGGCATCAGGAGTGGGGGAATGGAGGCATTGCAGAAGCTAGGAGTGACAATTGGGCAGGAGCCAGGGTGCACCAGGCAGGTATGTCTGAGGACAAAGGCAACCTCCCAATGAGAAGCCACAGGAAAACTGTTTTCAGGGAATGTGGGAGATGAAGGGGACTTTGGAGAGGATGAGGTACAAGAGATTTGCTGCTCACCGTCTGGGCTGCTTCTGAAGTGCTCAGGGGGAAGGAAGGACATGTCTGGCATTGGAACATATGCCTTCCATGCCTCCCATGTGTCATCTCCACAACTACGTACATTGGCAGTTCGCAGGTGAGGAATCCAAGGAAAACGAATCATTACCCCCCTATGTCCTGCTTCTAGTCAATCAGAGCTCTAAGCTTTCCCCCACTTGTCCCAACTCCATGCTGTTTCCAAGGGAATGCAGAAGATAGGCTTAGGACAGGGCTGCCACCATCGTGAGCTTGGTGGGTCTGGAGAAGTGGAGGGTGCGCTATGAGCAGTGGCAGGCTGGGCCGGTGCAGAGGGGCAAGGACTGTGAGCTCACACAGCCACCTGGGGGGATGGACGGTCCTATTTCCTACCTCACACACGAGGAACCAGCATCCTGGAGAGGCGAAGTGACATGCAGGCAGGGTCAGTGCCAGAACTGGGCCCAGCTAGCAGGCTCTGGCACCCATGACCGTAAGCACAGTTCCACATAGCCTCTCTGCAGTCTCCACTGCAGCGACTACCTACAAGTGCTGGAACAGGACAGTACCTTCCCTTCTGGCATTTTCATGCCCAGTCGGGGTTTTCCACTTTCTCTTTCCTCCAGTAGTAAGTTCCTTTGAGCCTTGCCACGAGGTGGCAGCATTAAACAGTTTGAGATTACCTTCACCAGCTTCTATCTCCAGACCTAGGACACAGTATCCATCCTCTTAGGTACACTGATTCTCTGGTAGCTACACTTTCCACCATCTCTCACTTCAGTGTATACCCATGTCCCTCCAACCTCCCGACCATCTGCACCATCCCAGACCCTCTAACGGCTCCCTCTGTGTCCTTCCCCACCAAGTGGAAGCTCACTCTCTCTAGGAATTCCCTTGGCACTTTGTGGGGAGTCTTAAGTACATTGTCTTCCTCTCTTCAGTGCTGCGGGTGCGCTGCCCCCTTTTCCCACCCTCCTGTTGCACTATAAGCCCCCTCGAGGCAGGGGCTGCGTTCTTGTGTGTGACACAGCCTCACTGTGGAGTGATGACGTGCAGCTGGGATATTGCATCTGAGGCCCGTGATGGCCTTTCCCTCCCCTGCCATTGAGGGCAGGGCCAGCAAGAGCCTGGTCCACCAGCACCCTGAGCATGTTTTCCTGTGACCTCTGGATGTCTTCAGTTCATCGCAGGTGCTCAGGCCTCAGACGTGACTCTGTGCACAGTGGTACTGTCCATTTCCTAAATGAAGGGTAGCCCACCCCACCTCCGTGTTGCCTGCGAAAGGAAAATTCTGACGAATAGTGTGATTCCTCATAGTCAAGCAATAGTACCTCTAGAGAAACATCATATATGTATGTACAGAGACTCCTCATCACTGCTCTGCTTGTAATACTGGAGACAGTATATATGTCCATCAATAGGTAAAGGATAAAGTGTGCTGGTATGGTCAGAGAATGAAATGCTATAGGGCCTTTTCATAGAACGAACTGTGTGGGAAAAACACTGGCCTACAACATATAATACTGAGTAAAAAATGCAATAGCAGAATTAAATCACAGTACAATACCAAACATGAACATCAATACTATATATGCTTTGGGAACCATATATTGGCAGTGAAAGTTCAAACACATGGGCAGGAGGAATATAGACCAAATTCAGAGTGGATGTTGCTCCCTGGATAGGCAGGAAAAGGAAAAGGCCAGAGGATAGTGACAAAGGGGGCTGTAAACTATGTGTGAAATATAGTATATATTGCATATAAAACATATAATATTATATATATCTCTAGATATGTAATAGTAAAATGATATATAAAATTATTGGAAGCAAATATGGCAAAACATGAACATTTGTTAATTTTGGATAGTGGGTCCAGGAGCATTTGTTAATTCCTCTTTGCATTTTTCAATATATTTAAAATAGTCACAATGATACTAAAAGAACACAGTGTTGCATATTAACCTTCAGAATTAAATAAATCCCAGCTGTGAACCAAGTAGTTCAGGAAGCAGCAGGGTGACGTGATGGAGAGGACCCGAGGCTACAGAAGACAGGAAGGCGTGGCCTCCAGAGCAGAGGCGGGAACAAGCCAAAGGGACTGGCCATGGAGGAGCACACCAGGCAGAGGACTTAGTGGGACCAGACTGGGCTGAGAGAGCTCTGGGTAGCTGCCATGTAGAGAGGAGCAGTCACAGGGCTTCTTCAGCTGGAAAAGATTTTCTAGGCTTTAGGGGGTCCTTGGGGGGTCTTTAAATACAGAGTTAAAGAGGCTTTACAAAGGTGTCCCCTGTCTGCTAGAATCCAATAAAATAAATCCAATAAAAGAAACTTTACTTATGGCCTCAGTGAGTGCGTGAATAAGAAGTCCCTCTGACTACTGGAAGGCTGGCGGACACCGTAATGTGGGTAGAAGGTGAGGGGCGGGCCGGCCCTGAGAAGCAGGAGGCACTCAGCTTTGCGTATGGGCAATGAAGACCAAACGTGATGGGCTTTCTGTCCCAGCTGCCCCAGCCAGGTTCCAGGGTTTACCAGGCAGGAGTGCTGAGCCGGCAACACCATCTGGAGGGAGGTAAACAAGCTCTAGCCCTGTACTCGAGGGGCTCAGTGTGGTAGAGAGCCTGGTCAACAACTGAACACAGGAGATGGAGAGAGTAGTAAGGGTTATGGGAGCTATCAGGATTTTAATTTATCTTTCATCAATATATATTATTTAATTATTTTAAAAATCTGGGTTTAACCAGGAGATGCAGATGACATTCCAATATTCTTTGATTATGGATTAAAAATCTGCTAATTCTGAAGGTGTCAATATGATGGAGATCTCTAGGATCTCCAGGACAGTTCTTGAAAAGTGGCATATCTACTGATGGAAGGGTCAACTTAGGACCTGTCTTTGGAGGAGCATTCCTCTTCTACACATGTGGTCCATCACAAAGAGACCTCACTCTGCCTCCAGGCCTCCTCCAGCCCGTTGTCCATCTGGATGTCAGCTCTGTCCTCATAGAAGGTAAGTTTTGTCTTGTCGCTCTGCAGTATAAATTGCCTGCCC